ACAGTCCTCTAATATAATCTAAGAACTATACATTCCTCTAATATAAAATAATAAATTCTAGGCATTTAACTATTTGTATCAAATTTTGTTTTTTAGACAAAGGCATTATCCATCACAATAAGTAATTTTTTGCTTTTATTTCAACTGGACAATCGTAATTAGGAAAGGTAAGAAGCCATCTACACTTTCCCTTTCCATTCAATACATTTTTGTTACTATTTTATTTTATCCAGTGTTTTGTTTTTTCTACTATTTGGCTTAAATACTATACTATCTATAATGTTAATATTAAATATCTGCAATTCTGTTCTAGATCCCGTGGCAAAGTTCAAGAAAATCTCATATAAATGAACAACTCAACATGTATTCAACCATCTGCGATCACATCCACGGTTTTACCGATCACTTACATCTTCCTTTGTATTGTTGGTCTCTTTGGAAACTCTCTCTCTCAATGGATATTTTTAAGAAAAATAGGTAAGAAAACATCAACGCACATCTACCTGGCACACCTTGTGACTGCAAACTTGCTTGTGTGCAGCGCCATGCCTTTCATAGGTATCTATTTCCTGAAAGGTTTCCAATGGGAATATCAATCTGTACAATGCAGAGTGGTCAGTTTTCTGGGAGTTCTATCCATTCATGTAAGTATGTTTGTCAGCCTCTTAATTTTAAGTTGGATTGCCATAAGCCGCTATGCTACCTTAATGAAAAAGGATTCCATGCAAGAGACCACTTCGTGCTATGAAAAAATATTTTATGGCCATTTATTGAAAAAATTTCGCCAGCCCAACTTCGCTAGAAAACTGTGCATTTACATATGGGGAGTTGTACTGGGTGTAATTCTTCCAGTTACCATATACTACTCGGTTGCAGAGGCTACAGAAGGAGAGGAGCGCCAGTGCTATAATCGGCAGATGGAACTAGGAGCCATGATTTCTCAGATTGCAGGTCTCATTGGAACCACATTTATTGGATTTTCATTTTTAGTAGTACTAACATCATACTACTCCTTTGTCAGCCATTTGAGAAAAATAAGGACCTGTACATCCATTATGGAGAAAGATTTGACTTACAGTTCTGTGAAAAGACATCTTTTGGTTATCCAGAGTCTACTACTAGTTTGTTTCCTTCCATATAGTATTTTTAAACCCATATTTTATGTTCTACACCAAAGAGAGGACTGTCAGCAATTGAATTATTTAATAGAAACCAAAAATGTCCTTACCTGTCTTGCTTCAGCCAGAAGTAGCACAGACCCCATCATATTTCTTTTATTAGATAAAACATTCAAAAAGACACTATATAATCTCTTTACAAAGTCTAATTCACCACACAACCATAAGGTTGACATTTGAATGGAAAACACCACAAAATGGAAAAGCGTTCATGTGACTCTATTAGGGGCACTAAACTACATCATTGACATGCCAGCTTGGTTGACAAAAGGCACCAAGAAAACCTCTTTGGTTTTTAAAAATAGATATTCATCTCTGTGGAAAGCAATATGGAGATACCTCAAAGAGCTACAAGTAAAACTACCATTTATTTGATCCAGTAATCCCATTGCTGGGCATCTACCCAAAGAACAAAAGAAATTCTATAAAAAAGACAGCTGCACTAGAATGTTTACAGCAGCACAATTCACAATTGCAAAGATGTGGAAACAACCCAAGTGCCCATCAATACATGAGTGGATTAACAAAATGTGGTATATGTATACCATGGAGTACTATTCAGCTATAAGAAACAATGGGGATATAGCACCTCTTGTATTTTCCTGGACAGAGCTGGAACCCATTCTACTAAGTGAAGTATCCCAAGAATGGAAAAACAAGCACCACATGTACTCACCATCAAATTGGTATTAACTGATCAACACTTAAGTGCACATATAGTAATAACATTCATCGGGTGTTGGGCAGATGGGAGGAGGGAGGAGTGGATGGGTATATACACACCTAATGGGTGCGGTGTGCACCATCTTGGGGATGGACACGCTTAAAGCTCTGACTCGGGTGGGGCAAGGGTAATATACGTAACCTAAATATTTGTACCCCCTAATATGCTGAAATAAAAAAATAAATAAAAATAGATATTCATAAAACTCAATTTATAGTTCTACTTATACTGAAAGTTGAGATGGCAGAGACTTTCAGAAGCAAAAATCAAGCATATTGAAAGGATCCCACTGCATATGAAACCAACAGATTATTATTTTTTTAAACTCAAATGTGGATACTTCTGTTCAGAACAAAATATTTCATGATTGTAGGATAAAGAAGGAAATGGTTTATGACTTGTACGCTTTCAAGTAGTTAGAATCCAAGGGTCCATCTATGGCTAATGTTTTGTTTTTTTTTTTTGAGACAGAGTCTCACTCTGTTGCCTGGGCTAGAGTGCCGTGGCGTCAGCCTAGCTCACAGCAACCTCAAACTCCCGGGCTCAAGTAATCCTTCCAGCTAATTTCTTTCTATTTTTTTAGTAGAGATGGGTCTCGCTCTTGCTCAGGCTGGTCTCAAACTCCTGAGCTCAAACGATCCTCCCGCCTTGGCCTCTCAGAGTGCTAGGATTACAGGTGTGAGCCACCCTGCCCAGCCTGTTTTTTTGGTAATTTTAAAAAACATTAAAAATGAGTAAAAGAAAAAAATAAGCAATGTTCTCACTTAAGTCGTATCTAAATGCATGAATAATACAGTGTAAAAATCCAAGGCTTTATAAACATGTTTATTTGGAATTATCTGGCTCATGTTATCGAGAGAGGCAATAGTCCCCAACTCCAATATTTATTAAGGAGATGTTACTTATAAATATGCTTAAATATGTGGATTATGCTTTGTCAAAATAAGCTAATATAATGTCATTATATGCCCATCTTCATCACATAGGAAAATCTTAATGTATTCAACATAAATAATATTAACGACAGACAGTACCTGGCATGTAGGTACATTCAATTAATTTTGTGAAATGAATGAATGATAAGGCAGTATAATAGTATTGTAGTTAAGGGATTGGTCTCTGATGTTAGACTCCTTGGGTTCAATCCTGGCTCTACCTCTTATTTAGCTGGACAATCTTAGGCAAGTTATCCTATTTAAGTGTTAATTTCTTCATTTGTAGAACAGAAAATACTAACATATTCATAGGTACTATTATTAAATCAGATGATGTTACTACTATGAATAGCTATCAATAAGTACTTCGCCCTGCTTATATGCTTTATATATTATTTTAATCATCACAACCCTAAAGTATATCTATTTACTGATGAAAAAATTGAACTGCATTAAGTCACCCAAATTTTCTGAATATCTAAGTAAATATTTAAAGAGTAAGTAATGGTCATTTCTTTCTTCTGTGTAATCTTGTCAGTAAGACAAATGATGGTGATTATATTCTATACTATATAAATTATAATTATGTGTGTTCTATTTTCCCAAAGAGATCCTAAGCACCTTTGGAGTTTTTCTATTTCTACTCTCGTGGTACTCTGTATTCTCTTCACAGATAAGAACCAAACAAAAACAGTTAAATAAAATCAGCCACTAACTGTAACTTGTCACTTCATTAGAGACTGTTTAAAGACTCATTTTTTTCCATATGGTAATTCGTTCAGTGTTCAAAAAGTTTAAAGTAAGTTCACATAGTGCTTCCATGTTTTGTTCCTGAATTAGAAGTGTATGAGCAATTCACTGTACAGATTCCCTAAGAGCCATGTGTTCAAAATCATTAGAGGTTATTCTGACACAACTGTATAATTTTCATTAAAAACAAATAAGAAAAAAGCCATTAATTTTTTTCCTTTTTTTTACTTCAATGCTTAACTGAGAGATGAAAATGTTCAGAGAGTATGAACATATTCTGGCTTCAAATATTTACAGTGTATATTAATTCTTTTATAGTAGCAATTAGATTTCTGGCTCATTAATTTGCAGAGACAAAGGAGACTTGGGAACTTCAGGTGACCTCCCTAAGTGCTGGCTATAAATGGAGGTGTCTAGTGACTTCCTAGACACGTGAATCACAAAATGACTTGCAGTCCATCAGGGGACCTCCTGAGATGCCCAGATTTCGCTAGTTACACCAGTAGTTTTAATCTGAGTTTTAAAACCAAAACTCATTAGATTAAGAGGAGCTGAGAAGATTATCAGTAATTTTCATTTAAAAAATTTTTTTAACCTGTCATGGAATTGAGTCTATTTATTTATTTTTTTGTAGAGACAAGTTCTCACTATGTTGCCCCGGTTGGTCTCGAACTCCTGGCCTCAAGTGGTCCTCCTGCCTCTGCCTCCCAAAGTGCTGGAATTATAGGCGTTAAGCCACTGTGTCCGGCCCAGTAATTTTCATTTTACATAAGCTATACTGTATTTAATCTCACTGTACTTGGCAGTTTTATAATTTTTAAAACTTCTATAAATCATTATTTAAAAAACACTTTACAGCTCTACTCACTACTTCAAATAAAATATATTTTACTTAAAAGATATTAAGAGTTTCCTACACTTAAAAAAGGCAGGAAAAGAGGTTTACAATTTCTCTTCATGTTATTCATTCTGATAGAACATTCCCGTTTTAATTCCCTGTACTGTACGATATACTCAGCTCATTATCATCACGTTTACCTTTACATCATAGATGCTTTCCTAAACAGTTGATTGTAAATCACATTGAATTTTTTGTATAATTGAAGAACTGGCTATTTAATGTCATAGTAAATATTTTATATATTTCTTTCTAAACTTATGCTAATTTTACAGTTTACATTTCAGAAAAATGGTGTTTTTAACGTGTCTGTGTGAGTCAAAAACAAATTTGGGGTTTCAGAAATCTCAGATTTTGACTTAGGCCAACAAGGTTTTATCTTAACTGTAGAAAACAGGCATGACAAATATTTATCTCCCCTTTTATCTTTCCATATACACACTTCTATTAAGGTAGCTTTCAAACTATAATTATGAACACAAACCATTAAGACTGAACAAACGAAATTCAGGATAAACTACTTAAGTGGGAAGTGAGTTTCTACTCCCTGGGTAGAAGAGGAAGATGCCTCCTTCATTTTTGATTTGGTAAGGACTCTTGGCCTAGCCCAGCCCTGCAGTCTGTCAGGGTGGGAGTTATGGGTAAATGTGGGAAGACAAGCTGAAAGGAAATCTTGCTGGCAAATCACGAAGGGCATTTCAATTGAGCAACCCTAATGCCATGGACCTTCCTCACACAGCCCCAAATTCCAATTGAACTGATATCATTGGGAAGAGTTACTACAGCTAGAAAGGTTTTACACCTGACAGGAAAACCTCTTTGGCTATATCATATATGCCACCCCTGGCTCAGGAGAGGAGCTGTGAAAGGATTCACCTTTAGTAAGCAAATGAAACTTTTTTTTTTTAAATCAAGCAATTGATTTCTTTCTTTGGAGGATGGGTTGGCAGAAGAGAAGCGTATAGATATGCAAGATAAATTTATGATGAACATATAAACCATGAGATTTTCCTAAGTATAATTATTAAAATCCCACATGCAAACTGAACATTATGTTTAACAACCTTATACAAGTAATGCAGAAGATTAACCAGTGTGTTTCTTTTAATAAAGAATAAGTTTTTGTTTTAATGAGAATTTAAATTTCTCTATACAACATGGGGGCTTTTGGGAATTGTGGTAACAGATGTAAAAGAAACATCAGCAACTGAGAGCAAGAAAGGAAGGAATACTTTAAGCCATGGCAACCAGTGTTATGTGATGAACATGAACTTATGCTAAAGGCTGGCCCTAAGCAGGTGAAAGGAGAACTGAGACCAGAAGGGGACCAAAGAGCAGCCAGGCGTGTTCACACAGGTTAGCCAGGAAAACCATTTAAAGGAAGCATACTCGGAAATACATGGGCGGGAGGCTTCTGGCTAAGTGTGTATGCGACTGGGGTTTGTACAGTTCTGAGAACTAAAAGCTGAGTGCCCAAGCTTCCCAGGAACAGGCCCCATTTGGAATAGAAAGTGATTGCTTGTGTAGCAGTTTGCATTCTCAGAGAAGCTGCTTCACTTCAGCTTTAGTTATTAAAATTGTATGTGCGTAGGTCAGAGTGATAGAAAGGTCTAAGGAATGCTGAGTCTCTCCACACCCACGCGCTGCACTGTAAGGCTGCCAGCAGTAGTTGGGAGAGATGAGAAAATTCCACAAACTCTCAGTGCTTAGCAGAGCCAATGAAGGAAGGCAAGGAGCCAGGAGTTGCATTTACCTTGACAACTATGTTACTTCTTTCTAAAGTACTTTTAATTTAGGGGTGAGAGGAAGAAAAGAGAAAAATCGCTGAAACATAATGGAAGTTTTCACATTCTTTCACAAGAAAAAGAAGAATTAAAGGGAACACGACAGAAAAAACAGAAATTTGCATGCATGACTTAATTAATGCCTGTAGAAAGGCAAACTATGAGAACTATAACATTCTGACAGCGGGTCTTAACCAGGGGCGATTTTTGTGCTCAAGGGGACATTTGGCAATGTTTGGAGACATTTGTGGTTGTCAGAACTGGGGGAGATACTCTTGGCATCTAGTGGGTAGAGGCTAGAATGCGGTTAAGCATCCTATAATCCGTAGGACAGCCTCCTACTACAAAGGATCTGGCCCAAAATGTCACTAAGTGTGGCTATTGGGAAACCCTGTACTATGTTCACAAATCTCCCTGAATTTCAAAGGATTATACGATTACTTTTTATGCAATTTCACATGAAACTGCTCCTTCAAAGTAAGCAGTTTCCACTATAGGTCACATGGCACCATATACTCAAATCTAACCAAACAATCCTTTTTAGACTCAATTATGATGATTTCAAAAAGAAATGCCTACCGAGAAACCTAATGCGTGAGAGAGAGAGAGAGAGCGAGAGAGAGAGAATGAGAATATTCTTGGTTAGATGAAACAGATGATTAAATCTAAATTTTTCTAAGAGAAATGAAATATTGCAATGCTCTTCTATTCTTTTCTAAGTATAAGGGAAGAAAACTTCAACAAAAAGTTTAACTGCAGAAACCAAAATCTACATACATGCCGAATCTACATACAGACAAGTCACTGAATGTATATCTAAATGCAAAGAAAAACTGGCAAAAATATTAACAAACCAAACCAAGTGAAATTTTAAATTATTAACCATGTGAAATGTGTTGTTATTGAAGTTTTACAATGACCAGTATGTCGGAATATCCCTATAACAAGGTCTGGAATAAAACTAAGTTTTACCTGTTATTGAAGTTATATTAGGAAATCCTGTTGACACAATCTTTAAAATATATACAGAACTTAACTACTTTTTTTACCCCCTCCACTGCTACCACTCTGGTCTGAGCCAGGCAGGATCATTGCCTGTCCCCTTTTCACTCTCTCCTTTGCTCATTTTGCCTCAGCCACACTGGCCTCCTTGCTGTTCCTCAAACATGCCATTTGTGTTCCCATCTCTGTGCCTTTGCACTGCTGTTCCTTTTACCCAGAACACTCTTCCCTCAGCTATCAGCTTAGCCCACTCCCTCCCTTTCTTCAAGTCCTTGATCAGATGCTGTCTTCTCCACGTGGCCTGCTCTGACCATCCTATTTACAATTGCAAGCCCTTCTCTAGCACTCCCTGTCCTTCTGACCACTCTAGTTTTTTTCTGTGGTCTTTTTCACCTTCTAACCTACTATACTTACTTCACTTATTTCTGCTTACTGATTATTGCCTGTCTCCCTGAACTAGAATGTCAGCTGCGTGAGGGCAGTGATTTTGTTTGTTTTGTTCATTGACGTAGCTCCAGTTCCTAGGACAGTACAGTGCCTGTCAGATAGTAGGGACTCAATAAATACCTTTTTGATAAATGTCTTAAGAAAAATACACCAACATTCAAAATTGCAATAAACCAAATGTGAGTATTACATCTACCCATGCAAAAATGTATAGCTTACAGGTTCTGAAATATAAAGACTATCAGTATTAATGTGTGCTCTGTGCCTGCCAACTGAACAATGGCACTTTTTCTGGTGGTTTCTTCTTACTAATTTGAAGTTTGAGAATTGCTTCTCTCTTCCCTTCCTTATCATGTTTCTGGGTGTTTCCTCAAAATCATTTGGCATGTACTTTAGAAATAATTAACTCATCTAATATAATCTAATGCAAAACTACTTTTGGGCCTTTGCACCCATTGTTCTTTCTGTGTGAAATGTCCTCTTGTCTCCATATAACTACTCCATGACTCAAGGCCAGGCTCCAATGTGACCTCCTCCATGAAATTTCTCTGACTCAGACTGGCTACCAATAAGTTCTCCCATCCTTGTGTATCTGGCACTCCTCCAATCAAAAGATGAATCTTTCTCCCCTCAAACTCAGACTAGCCTTGTGACCATTTTTTTTTTGACTAGTATGTTTCAACTAATAAAATGCATAGAATGTGACACAGTGCCTAGGCTTCAAGAAGCCTGGCAACTTCCATTTTTGTTATTTTGGAGCCCCAAGACACTGTCCTGATGGAGATGGGGCCATGTGGAGAGAGAGAATCCCTGAGAGAGCACGAAGAGCGCCAACCAGCTCACAGCTGTTCTAGTCACCTCAGCTGAGATGCCAGAAAAGTGAGTGAAGCCTTTGTGGAAACTAGCCATGCCACCTTGGCCAAAAGCCTGTGAAACAGAATTGAGCAGTCACCATCAAGCTTTGCCTAAACTGCAGAATTACAAGCAAGTAAGTGGCAGCTGTTGTTTGAAGTCACTAAGTTTCGGCATGTGTTGATCTGCAACAGTAGATTATATATAAACACACACACACATACATATATGCCTTATGTCCCTACTGAGAAAATAATACTTTCAGGGCTCCAAGCACAGTAATCTGCATGAAGTAGGCACTCAAATATTTGTTGAAATAAACCAGAAGGTAAATTAGAAGGTGAAGTTAAAATATAACTACTTTTGGATTTTATTTGGTTTTGAGTTGTCATTATATCAAATACCATGGCTAATCAAAAGCTGACTATATTATTCAAAGTATTACAGTAGAGTACGTTGTCCATCATTATTTATATACAATGTTGATATAATTACCTTTCAAGAACAGAGTTCATGCAAAATAAAATTGCCTCTTGCGTAAAACAGTTTTTAACAATGCTATTACATGAACTAACAATGTTTTACACATTTTAAGTTTTCACATTATTTGTTTCTGGTATATATTTTATAATATATATGAGGAGATATATTTTACTATGTATATATGCACTTTCTTATTTAATGCAAAATAATCACACAGCATGCTATTATAGTTGACAATTTTCCCCCTTTTACTTTTTCCACACTTCCTATTCTCTTTGGATAACTGAAGAATACTTTTTTATAAAAGTGCTATGCGTCCATTGGGTTGTGTAGTGTTGAGTTTTGATAATAACAGTATCATTTTCCTATGACATTTGAAAAGAATAAGACATTTTAGAGCTAATTTACACTAATGTGCATTTTGTCTGTTTCTTCAATGATTTTCATTTGCTACTATAACATTCTACATTCTACTAGATGGTTTTGGAATTGCTCTTGCTTTCCTTCAGCTTTTAACTACAAGGATTTCCATTAAAATTTCCCAAACATTACAGAAACTTTAACTAAACTCTACTTAATTTTCTTAGCCATTTAAAATACATCAAAGAAGCCAGGCCTTTAATAATATGTCTTGAGGGAAGGAGCACCATGTCTGTGCATGCTGCAGGTCAGAGAGAGACCAGTGACAAAATATCAGAGCTTGAAAGTGTAGCCCAGGGCCAGAGGGACTTCAGGGGCTCCCTAGTGATTCTAGGCCTTGGAAGGAGCTGGGGATCAGGAGGAAGGCCCACTGGTCTTCTTTCTTGCCTGCCTGTACGTTCTGCTTGACAGGAAGAGCCAGGGACTGAGCATTCTCATTAACTTGATACCAGATCAAACAGGCAGAAAGACTGAAGAATGACAATATTGGTATTCTAAGGGTATAAACTGTATTACATTTATAATTATGATTTCATACTATGTTTAAAAACTATCTGCAAAGAAAATACAATGCTGACTATTCTACCTTGCAACATTATGAAAATGTAAGTGTATGATTAGCTTTTACTACATAAACCAAATTCTAATTTTCCCCCCAATTAACTCAGTATAGGCTATTGTTTGGTTTTTCCTATTTGTTGGATTTTTCGTTTCTCTCTCACACACACAATGGCAAAAGAGGAATAATACATACATGTACACTTTAGTAAAAATAAAGAAATTGAAATTATGAAGTGTTCCTATTAAGAATTAGTACAACGACTTCCCAAATACGAAGAGGTTAAATAGATTTTTATTTGTAAGTAAAATTAAGATGTCCTTTATAAGAATATTAAAGAAAATTTTTTGATTATTATCATTGTTATATCAGTTTCTCTTCACAAACATTAAAGTTAGTAATAAAAATTACTTACCTTCACATCCCTGTGAATTATGTTATTATCATGACAGTAGCGAAGAGCTTCCAGTATCTGTCTCATGTAATGGCTGTAAGAAAACAAAGAAACCTAAAACTGTAAAAAATTTTTATTTTTAAAACTTAATATACAGTGCCCCTAGTTTATAATTCCCACCTTCGTATTAGCTGCCCATGGACACTTTTCATTTGAGCAGACAACATTGGTGGAAAGTGAGGCTGTGAGGCTTAATAACGAAACAGTTGGTAGCCTCATAAGTTTCTGCGCTTCATGAAGAAATAGTATGTTCTATATTTTCTAAGCTATCTAAGTTCAAAGAATTTCACACAATTCATAAGTAAAATTGCTTTGCAAACTAAAAATTCAAGCTTAAAATATGAAAAAAACCCAACAATTTTCCAATACTCAGGCAATTCTACTTAGTTAAATTGGATTGCTATTAAGTAAACAGTGCTCAGAGCTACCCCAAGGATTTGGACTAAAGGGGTGAGGGCCTTTTATCTGCCAGCAGAGTATGTTCTCAATCTTATTTCCATTTAGCTCTGAGGACAAACGAGAGAAGAACCTCCCTTTGTGTACAATTTCTTTTTGTAACATAGTCAAGTTTTAGTTGGGGCATCCTTGAACAAAGCAGGACAGTTCTAGGTCCAAGTCCTAGGTAGTCTGACTCCTCAGGTAGCCAGCAGGGATAGGTTGAGGCTCTCCATGGAGTATAAGATGAAGAACAAAGGAGAAGTTGGCATTTTAAAGAACAGTCTTTAGAAAGTGCTAACAGGGCTAGAGTAGTTTATTTAGTACTATTTTAGAACTTCCTTCTTGTATTTTTAAAGTTCTATAATCCCTCTATTTCTTTTCCTCTGAGTGTCTGTTTCATCTTCTCTTCTGCATTTTACTCCTTCCATATATCTTTCTCTTTTCTTCCTATTATCCCTTTCCTTGCTCATTTTTCTCCTTCCCAACAGCCAAGACAGAAATGCAACAGACTCAACATTATTCATTGTATAGTACTTATTAAATTTTATTTTGGTTCCAGATCTTAGATTTCTGACACAAATCACCTTGTATGTGTTATATGACTCAAGACAAAAAAAATTTTCTCTTCCTGCTTTACAATTAAAAAATATTTCCATCAAGTTCCCTCTTTGGTACGCTATCTTTTTTTTTTTTTTGGGGGAGAGACAGGGTCTCACTATGATGCCCAGGTTGGTCTTGAACTCCTGGCCTCAAGTGATCCTTCTGCCTCAGCCTCCCAAAGTGCTGGGATTACAGGCATGAGCCACTGGTATGCTACTATCTAACTAAGCTCACACAAATGTGCCTCTAGTTAGCACATGCATTATTTCATGTATTATAATTGATTAGAAGGGTTCTATTTTTAAAAAGAAAGGTGGGAAAAAAACACCTCAGGTTTTGTTCTCATATTTATCACTGTCTCCTCACAACTCAGAGAGTGAGGCTCATGCAGTAGTTAGTTCTGGTGTTCAATTTCTCTTACTTTGCAAATACACACGAGGGATTGTGGTCATATACTCTTTGCCTGGGCCAGTGCAGCCTATAATTAAGTTTTGTTTAAATCAGAGGTTCTTAACTTGATGTTGTGGCCTGTTAGTCCTCAAATCAGGCTTTGGGGGATCTGTGACCCCTTAAAATGGCTAAGAGATAACAAATGTGAAAGTGTTTTGTAAACTTGAAACCACTCTACAAAGGTTAAGTCATTATTCTTACATTATTATTATTATTATTATTATTATTATTGTTAAACCTAGGCAAAGACTTAGGAACAGCCTATTTGTCCATCTAGATGTCAACATAGAAATAGTGGGTAAGTTTAAACTCGGCAAAGTGGACATAGCTTGTACCTATGTAATGGACTACTTTGGATACAAAGCACTGAGATAGTGACCTAAATTATCTTCAGCCTAAAGAAAATTCCTACCTCAAAACCTCATTAAACAAAACAGAACAAAACTCATTGAATGAGCGTTGTTAATTTGCATATGACAGCACTTAATTATTTGACCCAAATATATGTATACAGCAGAATCTCTAGGGTGTATGTGGACAGAGTAGAATTTTTTTTTCTCCCCAAATTATAACAGATCTGAACTATCTTTCTCCACCCTCCTAGTCATGATCCTGGGAGGCTATGCATGTGAATGGTATGTAAGCAGAATAAAATGAGAATCAAAATCCACCCACATGTTCTAGAGAATTGCTGACTGAATTTTTAATAAAAAACTTCATTTCGTGAAGCATCATCATGGTCTATGCTTTCAGAGAAACTCAATGATACATAAGTTTGTCTTCACTTTCCCTAACAATCAGGAAAGATGATAACTCCATGGACAGAAAGAGCTGGCCAGTAATCCACTTATTTACTTTGGAAGGAGGCATTTTGGGGGTGGTGGAAGATAAAAAGAGAGGTGACTCAGTCAACTCTGGGTAAAAAGACTAATGCTATTTGCTAGACAGACGAGACCTTATCTCTGAAATGCCCTTAACAGAATGTCCCTGGCTCAGGATTAACTGTGGTAAATAGAACCTAAGATCTTTGAGGCACAGATGGCTTCCTGGAGAATGTCATATAAACCATCTAACTTCCAACTCTATGGAGATGTTTCATAATTGCAATGCTCCCCTCTGTGTGTGTGGAATCCCATAAACCTCAGGTAGAGATCTCATGTATTCTAGGCCAGAGATGTATTTCTGACGTGGGAAGAAATGACAGGGGCTCTTGCCCTTGATGTCCCACACTTCTCTGTGCTTCAGATGACCTTTTTGACTGCCTGTATCCTTGAAATTATTTAGTAAGACATGGTACTAGTTAAGAATATAGCTCTGATTTGTGAGAGTTTGATTTGATAATTTGATTCTGTGTGTTAGCTCACTGCACAACTCATTACCCCTGAAAGAACAGAGGTAATCACTAATTGGGTTGTACTACGTACTGAACAGAGTTTTATTTTAATGCCACGCTTTGCTGCTCCTTTTGAAGCTCAGCCAGTTGGAAAAAAACAACCTGATCAATTTGATTATTTGATGTCTCAGAGTCTTCTTGCAGAAATCATCTGGTTAAACACTCTACAAGAATGGAAGAACCTGCGTGAGCCTTATTATACACTTGTTGATCCTCTGTGATAGGGAACACACATAATAATACTTTCTGACCACCACCCCCATATCTTTTCATTGTTAGAAGGAAGAGCTTTTAATAAATTGTCTCCAAACCTCTCTCTTTGCAGTGTCACTTACTGGTCTCAATGCTATTCTTTTCTGGTCTACTCTGGGAAGTTCTTTTTGTAAAATCAACATTTTAACAGAAAATACAGGTAGATTTTAAAATAAACAGGTTTTCATTTTGATGCATATAAGCATCTACCTTTTCTATAAATCTTAAGATTGGGAGAGACCACAAGTCATTTCACTGTATGACATCACCTCTCTACATTGTCATCCTATATATCCTGACACCTAGCCCAGTGGCAGAGTTGGCTCAAAGTTATGGAAAAGCACCAAGGATGACTACAGTAAAAGTGGTACTGGTTTCACCTCAACCCTGCCAGCATATATGCCAGCTATCCCAGCGTTATTGTGATTCAAAAAGGAAAAATTCATATTCCTCCACTGAGTTTCACTATTTTATAAAATCAAAATTGAGAATTTTCAGTTTTCTTTATTTCCTGTTGCTCTTGAAAGATAGTAATATGGAAAAGTACAAAAGGCAAGTTGCCTCCAAATTCTTTTAAAACCACATATAAACAATGATATGCAAGAGTTTGAGAGTTTTGTTTAGTCAGATAAAATGGTTTACAACTATGGTATAAGAAAAGTCAAGACAGCATTGATTATTTTGGTATTAAAGAATGCTTTAAAAATTTTAAAGCACAAGAAAGAATAAAAATTTAACATTGTCATTAAAAACTCAAAACAATGGAAAAATGGGACTTAAAAAAACTAGAATGTGCTTTAGAGAGCATGGCACAAAAGAAGAGAGGATATTTAGCCTCAGTTCTACCATGTATACATCAGGAGTCTAAAGAAGCAATTACAGTTAACATACTATAAACTTTCATTTGCTTCTTCTCCCTAGCCCCAGTAATACAAAAAAGCAGCTACCCTACTTTGTGCATATTCTTTATTTTGTGCTATAGCTATGGTTGCTCTATCCCTGAGACTAAGTTTCTAGCTCCTCAGTCAGGAGGAGTCAGGGTGAAGAATTTAAAGGGAGTCAAGTCACACTGAGCTCAAAGCTGTATTAAGGTAGTCTTTAAGTTGTTTCTAGCTACGTATGTCTATGATGCTATAATTATAAAAGGAATGGTAGGAGGGAGGAAGTTACAATCATCTAGTGTAAACTTTTCTCAAATGACAGAAAGTTTTAATAAATCCTAATAGGGTTGTGGTGGGTTTGAAGCCTTCAACATACTATGGTTGGTGACTGAGGAGAGATGCTGTACTCCATGTATTAAAAAGGCACCCCACTGGAGTGAGAAATTATGGTATGACTTAATGTAACCAGAGCAGAAAGCTGTATTGCTGTAAATATACAAGTAGCACAGTGCATGCATGGCTCTTGTGACTTTTCACATTTACTCCTTATTTTGAGTCACTGGGTCCTTACGACAACTTCTCCATTTAGAACAAGGGCCACCATTTGATTGGGTAGGTCTCACACTGGCACGAAGCAAATATATTTGGCAGGAAAATGGTGCTTTTATTTCTGTTCCTTCTATTCTTTCTGGCCTGTGCTTTTCCTTCGATGAACTAGTCACATAACAACTTGATATCACTAAAAGGCAAAATGAAGAACTAATGAGACACATCTGCCAAAAAACAAAAATCAAAAAACTCAAGTTTAACTCTACATGGTTCTTAAGCTATCAAATTCCTTCTTGTATAAAAGTTATCAGAAATGGGAAAGGTAGCAGTACTGATGTGAAAATGTAAACCCATGTTAATAGATGAATTCATTGTTCAGTATGTTGCATTTCCAGTCACTTTTCAGTTCCACTAATGCATACTAAAACAGACATGCTCCTGTAGCAAAGAGCAGCAGTATGCTCAGTTCGAAGAGCAGGCTACTACTTTATGTGATTTCTTTGTAATTTCCTTCTTTTACTTCCACTTTGACCTCTGGGGATTAGATAAAGATTACATACCTGGCCACAGCTTCACTGTATACAAAACCAGCATCAGCTCGCTTTACGATTTCAAAACACAGATCCGCTCCATCCATACTGTAGAGAAATGTGAAAAAGAACATAAGAGATGAGGAAATTCTAGGGAGACAACACCGAAAGGGAAAACACTATAAGCTACTAGTTGGCTTACTGCTAATGATTGTAAGTTATTTAAATCTCTTTTCTTTCAATGAAAAAATAGACGTAAATTATAAAAGACATAACCATCTTAACATTAAAAATCTGAAGGGAAAGAAACAGAACAGGCAAATGGTAGTAACAAATAACATGAGGTATATAAAATTGATTATAAATTTTCTTTAGGTTATCACAATAAGAAATCTCAGAAAAGAGGAATGCTGGAGGTTGTGGGCATATTTTTGAGTCGAGTTCCAAAATTATCTATATGTAGTCACATGATGTAATATTTGAAGAATATAAGGACTGTAAAAACGTTTTGCTATAGTTATCACCATTAAATGAAAAATTAAGGCCATATACTATGGAAGGAAAAAACAATGAGCTAATCTATAATTTTTTTGTTTATACTTCTATTACCAAAGTTAGTTGCTACAAGCATATTGCAACACATAGAAATGTTGGTGACAGTGTCACTATTCTAAAACATACAATGGTTCTCTATTTCTCACCAGATATTGGCCTCTTGTTGTCTTGGCCACACCTTACCTCTTCTACCTGCACTGTTTAACAACATTTTAAGAAAACCTTGCTATCTAGGCCAAATGACCTTATTATCGTTCCCTGAATATATGCCTTTTTTATTGGCAACATGCTTCTTCATATAGTGCTTTACATATTCAACTACCCTCAATTTAAGGTTTCATGCCAATCCCACCTTCCCAGGAAGCCCCCTCAATGATTACCAGCCACATCGATACCTTCTTTTGCTTTAATTTTATAACCCTATACAGTCCATATGATAACATTTAGCACTTATATACATATAAACATGTCTCCACATATACATATGTATACATGAAACTTTTTCCAGATCATTACATATATTAATCAAATTATTCAAATATTAATAGCTAACATTTTCATAATGCTTTAAGGCTTATAAAATCAAATCCAGTATCATATTTATTCATTTATTCAGTAGTTCAGTTTCCAGTATATCTGCTGCAAGTATTATACTGAGAAAATACAAACTTCCAGAAGGGAAAGTTAAGGAATTCCTATACTTACTATCATGAGGCACCATGGGAAACATTCCTTGTTATATCTCCCTTCAGACTTACAATTACTCCATGAGTTAGCATCATTCTCCTTCTCAAATAATTTATCTAAGTGAGTGGACAAGTGTGTGACAGGGTCAGGATCCAAATACCTGTCTAGCTATGTCCAGTGCTCTTCCCATTGACCACAGCTACACCTGCTGGGTGTGCAAGGAACGAATGCACATCTTGGAGCCCTATAACAGGTCAGCAATAGTGTAAAGTCCTAAAGAACAAGTATAGTTTAAACTGTCAGCATAACCCTACAAAAATACCCAGAAGACTGAGCACATAGTAAATACTTAAATGAACAGTTAATTATATTATTTGTATCTTGGTGTGGTTTTATGTAAATGAAAATACTTTCACATTTATACAGGCTTTACAAATTTTACCAAGTTTTCATTTCACACTTAATGACCATTTTCCAATGTCAAGTAGGATTCTTCTCCAAAATAATGTTTATGATGGCCTAGTCTACTCCCAAGTATGGCAGCACCCATTTTCCACCATCAGAAATAAAGCCTGGATGAATGTGATCATGTATCTTTGTGAACACCTCTGATCATCTGCTATGGTAAAATTCTTACAATAAGAGTTGCTAGGTCAAGTTGCTATATTGTATCATATATACAATAACACTTTTGATACATACACAACCAGAAAAATTCTAACAATTTATACTCTCACTACCAAGTGTGAATGTGTCCTTTCCTCTACTAAGATGACTAGACTTTTTCATCTTTGCCAATCAGATAGGGGGGAAAAAGTCACTCATGATTGCTTTAATTTGCATTTCCTTGATTACTAGAGTAGACGAATATTTTTCATTTCTTTGTACTGTGGGGAGGAAAACATGCTATTTTAAAAACTGGCTGCAGTTTAAGCTGGTTAGTTGATCTACGAGGACTAAAAAACACCTCATAGTGAAGGAATTAGTTTTGCTTAAGCGTTTTTCTTCTTAATTGTGAAATGTGAGGGTAATTACTATTCAACTTAGATGAGAGAGGAGTTAGGCAAAAGAGAGAGCTAAATTGATTACATAATGAAGCAATAAGAATTTGGGAGCTGTCCTGAGAGCTAATGGTCTTTTTGGAGGGACCTAGAGGGGAAGAGGGAAAAGGAGGCTGGGGCGGCAAGGCAGGGGCAGCAAAGTGGTGAGAGCTCAAAACCTAACGCCTAAGGAGGGAGCCAGCCAATGAGAAATAACTGGAAATTATTTACTGTCCTGTGCTACAATTATCAGCATGGATCAATCCATTTGCCTGGCCATATATGAAATACTAGCACTTGAGATGACAATTTTGGCACATGTGCATACACACACAGGGTATTTTTAGGTTTCTACTCTTTTCCACCAACCTGTCTATTCTTGCATCTAGTACTGTACTATTTAAAATACTGTAATAACTTACCTATCAGGTGCAATGAACACTGTTCTGGTGATGGGCACACTAAAAGCCCTGACTTAAGCATTATACAAGGTATCCATGTAACAAAAACATTTGTATCCCCTTAATATTTTGAAATAAAAAAATAAAATACTGTAGTAGCATATTTTAATATTTGGCAAAATAAGTCTCATCTCACTATTCTTTGCCAGCATTTTCTTATGATTTGCACCCCCCCAGTTGAACTTTAAAATAATTTTGTCAAACTCTAAAAAAGTTTTATATCTTGACTCAGATGGTATTAAATTCATACATTACTACAAATTAACATTTTTATAATACTCTCATCCATGAACATGATATGCCTCTCCATTTCCTTTCATGTCTCTAAGATACAGTTTTAAGGTTTTCTTTATATTGGTTCCAGACATTGATTATTAAGTTTTTTCCGTAGGCATTTTATATTTTAGTTGCCATTATAAATGGGATCTTTTGGCCATTGTGTACTGTTTAAATTCAATGCTTTATAACCAGGGGTACTAAACAAAATCACCTGTGTAACTTCTTAAAGATGCAGGCAAGTTCTTTGAAGCGTTATTCTGAAAGAAAGTCATCACTGTGAAAGTACTTTTCTATTATTAAAGCTATTTGATTATTTATAACATTAATTGATACTACAGCGAAAGAAACAATCCACTACTTTTAAATTTCATGAGATACAGAAATAAAAACTAAAAATATTGTTACTTATGTAAATTTTATTCATCATAGAAATTTAAAATATACATATTCATAATACACACAATCCTGATATAATAACCTTGAATCTTTTGAACAAAACTGATGGCTTAATTCTTTGATAAACTTTATTTGACAATATGATTCTAAAAACAATGATAAGGCTTCTTTTATTGCTTTTCTCTTTGGCTTCCCATCTTGGGGTGTTTGTTTCTGGAGCTGTCAAGAACCTTCAAAGAATATATTCTGAATTTCCCCAATTGGCTCCAGTGTGAGGGAGTGAAAGGAAAGGGAGAAGAAACCTTTTTATTGAAGAGCACTGGGAGGGGGCTTCTATATTGTATGCAGAGAGAAACTATGGGAGGTTTAGTCTGAATTATGAAAAGTAGTGAAATTATGAATGAGCTTAGCTGTGTCTCCTCTTTGCCTATCTGAATTTTTTAAATTTTATAATAAACAGGCATTATTTATATAATTAAAAAATTATCCAAAGCCAAATACATCAAACAGACAAAATAGATCACAGGTCTAGAGACAGAAGGTATGACTGGTTGTACATTGAAGGGGATCAGAATATGCTACCCTAAAATTTACCACTTTGGCATCAGGGTTATTTTCAGTTGAAGGCACAAAATCATGCGCTAGATTTCACAGCAATGTCAAATTGCTATAACAGTTTCTAAATGTTTACTCTCAATTTCTGTACCTGTCCTATCATAGACCAGTAACAGATGGTAGATTGGTGCTCATCTGCAAGTATTCTTTGAAGAACACTGTTATAAAGGACAGACCAAACCTGGATTTCTCTGACCAGCAGTTTCTCTGAGGATGTCAAAAACAACTACAAAAACTGGATGAAATTTAAAAAATTTTTTTAAATCTTCAAAGAATTAACAGTATAGTGAGTGAAAAACTAGTGAGAACGGGGAAAGGATTAGAGCTCAAAGAGATGAATGAGAGCTGTTTCTGTCCTGGGGGCTGGCGGTGGGTTATAGAAAGAAGGCAGCTGGGGGAAGGCACTTTTGGGGAACTGGAGAGGTAGGAGGGGGTGGTCAGATGGAGATTGACAGGGTCCAGCTGCTTTTGCACCAGGGTGATATAAGAAGAGAGACAGAGCTATTCTTTTGGCAGATGTCTGAAGAGCCTGACAAATGCTAAGGCTCTGATGATATACTCCTTGTTCTTGGCTGGGGCCATAGAGCTACATTTTAAAAACTGGAATACGGAATATATTCTGTTATGCCATGTTGGTAGCACAGGAAAACCTCGATGCTCACCATGGAGATAAAAGCTTAGCCTAAAAACTTCTGACAGAAACAAGCACTCAGAGTGTGTTTCCCAATCACAATGTAGTTATGTTAGAAATAAATTAATAAATTAAGTAGAAAATCCCCAAATGCTTGGAAATTGAGAAATGCATGCTAAACAACATATTAGTCAAAGGAGAAATCATAATGAAAATTAGAAAATATTTCTAATAATGATAATGAAAAGAGTACATATCAAAACTTGTACAGTATTGAGGCATTACATTTCAAGATCAGTGTGTTGCCATTAAGAGACCTGCAAATACAGAAATGACTGAAAGGTAGAGTGGGGGCATAGGTCCAATCTTCCAGCCAGAGAAGCTGGTGATCCTTGTTATACACACACAAATACAACTTGGCATTAGAGAAACTTTTCTCAAATT